TATACCATGATATGAGTGTCCAGCGGATGGCAGAGATGTACAGCCAACTTACATAGTCATCGTACGTGTCGTAGTCGTGATAGGGACGCCTTTAATTCATCGTAGTCTGCACGTTTGGTTACACACGGGGCAGCGTGCAGGATGAAGGAAAAAACTCACATGAGTCGTAGGCGTGCCGCGGAGGTAGCTCCGCGTATCCAGGTGCATCCCAATCAACAGATGGAGACATCTGCCGCCAACGGTCAAAATCCGGAGAACGACTGCGGCGGCGTTGTAAGCGGCCGATGTCGTAATCGTAGTCGCGAGGCATAAGAGCGTGAGGTCGTCGTTCCGAGAGTTGTTGCTGCCGCAGGCGCTCCCGGGCTCTGGACGATGGCGGTATGGAACCCGACCACCGGGGAGGAGCCATAGGGAATCCTTCTTCTGCAGGACCATCGTTCCGGTTCGAGCGACGTTCCGGATCTTTGGACAGCGAACGGTAGCGATCATGCCGGTGCGGGGGGGGCGCGGACACACCCCCATGTTCATCATCATCGACTTCGATGGGCTTCGGACGACGCTTCGGTTTCTTGTTGGAAGGTGCCGGCGACGGCGGGCGCTCATATTCGTGCGACGAGTATCGAGGGTGGCTGTCCTCAGAGCACTCCACCTGCAACAACCGTGAGGATATCGTCAGCGAGAAAACGTGACAAGCGCACGTTGCCTGCACCCTGTGGTGCATGATCTTGATGTAGCACACCCGTGCCCCGTGACGGGGGTTCAAGAGGCGCGGTGACATTGGGGGAGTCGGCGGGAACAACTTCCTTCTTTTTCTTCGAGCCGACAGGACGGGGCTTGGGTTTGGGCTTGACGACAGTAGGTGGGGGCGGGTGGGCAGGCTCGTCAACGTGAGAGGGAGGGCGTTCTTCGGATACATGCATGTCAACCTGGCACATTCTGAGCATTAAGCATGGACCGGGAAGGCAATGAACGTACATCGACGTTGTCCGTACGATTTCCCCCGTTATCACCTGGATCACCTCGCGTACCCGCTAACAATTGTTCGGAAGACACCTGAGAGATAGTCATAAGCGACACAAACGGCGTCAAGACCGTTATCGCTCACCTCGCGGGATTGTGCAGCAGGTTTGCTTGTGTCAACGCGTTCCTTGGAAGGGGCCTGTAATCCGCGCACGATCAGTGAATAGTAAAAGATATACATGAAGAGGGAGTAGTGTACCGTTCGCATCTTTGGGTCGATTGAGCCGCTGGCTGCGGCGGCAGCAACGGCACGCGCGATCAAATCATCCTCGAAGTCGTCATAATCATCGTCAGAGGAAGAATCCTCGTCTTCCTCGGGCCCTGAGGCATCGCCGTCTCCACGGGGCTTAGTCTTCGAACGCTTTTTAGACTTCGGTTTGCGCTCCTTCTGATCTTTCGGACCAAAAGCACGATACCAAGCCGCCGTAGACGCCACGCGACAGAGAACCACCTGCGCGATGCTGTCCGAAGGGCGGTGCGGTGATACGTGTTGAATAACGTGCTTGTTTGCAGGCGGGTTTTGAGACGGTACCCATCCGAGGATCAGTGGGATGGCGCCTTGCTGCGCTACAGGCAGCTTCATTTCCTCTAAGGAAATGGTGAGCAAGCATCCAATCGTGCAAGAGGAACACGAAACTTACCTTCCCTCCACTTCTCCATCCAAAACTTCTTGGGGTGGGCCCCCTCAGTATTCGCGCCGGGCTCAAGTGCGTCGACCATGTCCTTGATGAAGTCGCCGTTGTGGTCGCCCTTGAGGCAGAAGCCGGTGCGGTGGTACTTCTTCGAACAATGCAGGTTGACGTGCGGGTTGAAGTTGACCAGCCGGCATTTCCACTTGAATAACAGGTCGGACAGGCCTTTCCAGGAAACTTGCTTGGCCTTAGAGTTGATGCCAACTGCGCTCAATCAGCGAAAGCGCGAGCACAAAAAGGCAACACGATAATACCCAGGCTGGTCAACATATGATCTTGGAAGAGATTATTGCGACCGTCGCGGTAATCCGGGTTCTTGCCCTTCTTGTCCGTCTTGTCCTTCTTTCCCTTCTTTCCCTGCTTCGACTTGTTGCCAATCTGCGAGTTGGTATCCGGCTTATCGCTGGACTCTGCCTTCGACACGGCGGAAGGAGGTGGGATGAGATCCCCGAATGCGTCGCCCCCGTTCGCAAGTTGATCACGGCTCAGTCTGGTTTGCAACGTCAACTTACAATCAGATGGAATTTATGGACACGCACGTCAGCAGCGCTTGATAGGTCTGCAAAGTGGCTCCAAAGTCCTGTTCGTAACGCTTTTTGAAAAATTCCCATTCAGGAGAATTGCCAAAAGAGTAAGAGCCAGCGTTGCCCAGGTGAATGAGAGACCCGAACATGTGAAACCCATAGAGCATATAGAGACGACGGCCCTGACGATGAGTCAGGGTCAGTGGATGGTGGAACGATAGAAGCTCACCATGGCATTGATTTCTCGCAAGGCACTTTGTAATTCCTTGCGCAGATTACCGTTTTGCTCGGCATCTGCAAGGTACTCTTCGATGCATTCACGCTCCCATTCGATGAACGGCTTGACAATTTCGGCTCTGGCAAGGGTGTCGTCCTCGTCGATCCCTTCGAAGAGCGCACGATAATCCGCACGCATGCGGGCCATAAAGCGGTCCGGATCTGGGAGAGAATCAATATCGATACGCCGGGCAGCGACGTCGACTCGCGCACCTTCATCCGTGTGAATACCGCGATGAACACGATACCACCGTTCATAAGCTGTCCAGGGATTGGGACCACGGAACCTCTTTGCCACAGGCAGCGTAAGCGCCTTCAGGAAGAGGGCAGGACTCTTACGCGACACGGCAGCCATACTTGCGCACCACGCGTCGACTTCTGCTTGCTTTGCTTCCACAGCCGCGAGCTCGTCACTAGTAAGCGGTCCTGGTCGACGATGCTTCTTCGACGCAGTTGGCGAGCTCGGCCATGCGGCGTTGGGCACGCTGGTGCTAGGCGACACGTCCTGTGACTCTGAGACGCAATTGATTCAGATTGGCTCTATTCAGCAAAGAGCGAAGGAAACTGTACCTGATAGGTCAGCCCGAGGATCAAAAAAATCGGAGAATTTCTTCTTCTTTTTCTTAGGACGACCCTCCCCATGGTCCGGGGTGTAATCGTCGCTAAGACCGGATGAGTCTGGATCGGCCCCCGCATACTTGCCGGGGGGGTCGGTAGTGCGTCCTGAACGGCGGCGCCGGCCGTTCTTGGACGGAGAAGCAGCCGGAGCGTAACCAGAGGGCGAGGAGTCTGGTGCTGGGCGATCGGTCCCATGGTCCTGTACAAAATCATTCGTGCGCGCAGGACTGTCGGGGCCGTCGGGTTGCGAGGGGTCTGGCGCCGGGCGGTCGGTCCCATGGTCCTGTATGAAGTCGTTCGTGCGCGCAGGACTGTCGGGGCCGTTGGGTTGCGAGGGGTCTGGGGCCGGGCGGTCGGTCCCATGGTCCTGTACGAAGTCGTTCGTGCGCGCAGGACTGCCGGGGCCGTCGGGTTGCGAGGGGTCTGGCGCCGGGCGGTCGGTCCCATGGTCCTGTACGAGGTCGTTCGTGCGCGCAGGACTGCCGGGGCCGTCGGGTTGCGAGGGGTCTGGCGCCGGGCGGTCGGTCCCATGGTCCTGTACGAGGTCGTTCGTGCGCGCAGGACTGTCGGGGCCGTTGGGTTGCGAGGGGTCTGGGGCCGGGCGGTCGGTCCCATGGTCCTGTACGAAGTCGTTCGTGCGCGCAGGACTGCCGGGGCCGTCGGGTTGCGAGGGGTCTGGCGCCGGGCGGTCGGTCCCATGGTCCTGTACGAGGTCGTTCGTGCGCGCAGGACTGCCGGGGCCGTCGGATTGGGAATGTAATATAGCGCCGACATGACTGCCCTGAAACGACTTATTGATGGCGGCAGCGAGCGAGGCGGCAGCCAGGACAGGTGCGTTCGCAGTAGGCGGGATTCCAGCAAACGAGAGAACAGGTCCGTTTGCAGTAGGTGCGATTCCAGCGAGCGAGGCGGCAGCCAGGACAGGTGCGTTCGCAGTAGGCGCGATTCCTGAGAGTAAAGCAATGCTGTCTTGCGCCCGCTGCATCGTGGATATCTATCAGAGATACACCATTAGCCTTGAGCACTGAGTGCAGGCAAGATTTCTTACGAAGCGATGGTTCGGCTGCATGACGAGACCACGAGGCTGTTCAGCGACTTGTGCCTGGCCAATTGAAAGTAACGCAGCATCAAGCTCTGGGATTTCCCACAACTGCATGATGTGAATACAAATGAATCAATTGATGTCAACAATACTCACATCTAAGTCCCAGGTCGGACTACTGGTGGTCAGCTCAGATGGTTGACTCGGCACCGACGGATCAGGTGCTGGCTATGGCAAACGTTGGTTAGGATGAACGTAAGAGAGTAACGACTGCTCAACTACCTTTGCTACCTTCGAGGGCTCATCGTTGAGGGACGGATTGGCACCGGACGGAGATGGGGCGACTGAAACACCAGATGCGCGGGCGAGGGGAGTTTCCACCAGCTAAGATGGTTGCAGGATATCAGTACGAGTGAAACAATTGATGCGGGAACGACACTTACCTTTGTTGCCAAAGGCAGACTACCAGTGGTCGCCTGGAATGGTCCGCTCGGTGCCGGTCGGTCGTCCGCAGGTGCGGACTATAACAGACATTAGGTGTGACAGACATAAAATTTGTTCGATACGCACGTTGGATAATGCCTGGGAGATGGGAGTTTCCATGTGCTAAGATTAATGCAGAATTTCAATAGCATGAAGTAATGATGCGCGAACGATACTTACCTCTGATTCAAGGGTGAGCCTATTAGTGGTCGACCCAGGATCTCCGTTCGGTACCGGCTGGTCCTGCTTAGGTGCAGGCTATATTACAGATGAGTAGTGAGGTAGACATTAGAAGCATTCGATACGCACGTTGAATAGCGACTGCCTGACCTCCTTCGCATGCACGTCCTCACCGGACGGATGGTCATCAGACGGAGAGGGAGCATCGGAGCCACCGGATGCATGGGCAACGGGAGTTTCCGGGGGCTAGAAGCAATGCGGAATTTCAGTACAAAGGTAGCAATCGATGCGCCAATGGTGCTCGCCTCCGCGTCCAAGGTGACACTACTAGTGGTCGATCCAGGCGCTCCGCTCGGCGCAGGCTGGTCCTGCTCAGGTGCAGGCTATATGACGGATGAGTTGTGAGAAAGACATGAGAAGCATTCGATACAGACGTTGGACGACTGTCCCGCCACCTTTGCATGGACGACGTTGAGGGACAGATTGTTATGGGATGGAGACGGGGCGCCGGAGTCACTGGCTTCACGAGGAGTTCCCTGTGGCCGGAATTAATGCATGGCACCCGAACCGCAAAAAAGAGCGTACCTTTGGGAGTTTACGCTTCGGCTTTTTCTTTCGAGGGTGCTTCGCGGTTTCATCGACGCTCTTCAGAGAACAAATGAGTAAAGGTGGAATATATCACGGGAGTATGTACCTGTTCATTCGGTGCTGCGATTTGCTGGCAAAGGCGAGTTGAGTGATGCCTACAACTTCAACGACAGAGTATTCACCTCAGACGGCGCCCTGGACGCGTGGCGCACCTTCTTAGACTTACGTGAAGCATCTTCGGCGTCGCTCTGCAAGCCATCAGGCGCCTGGAAGACGAGGCAATTCAAAAGACTCACCGTAGCTCGCGCTCGGCGGCGCGTAGAACCATCTTGCGTCGGATGTCCAGCACCATCGCCCGTCGTCTGTGACTGCGCGTTTGAGGATCAGTAGTAGAAAAAGAGTGACAGGAGCAGACGTACCTCACATGGTCCGTCTGCACGGCCTGCACCAGCCGCCGCCGCTGCTGTTTTTGACTGAGAGTACATTAATACCAGCAGTGACGCCAAGTAGACATGCACTTACGCGAGTCGAGCGGGTAGTGGTCATGAGATCCAGGAGACGTGAGGAACGACGAGTTGGGGTGCTCTGACCGCTGAGCAATGAGTTCTTCAGCGAACGGGCGTATTTGGTAATGTTTGCGTGTCTGCGGACTGGGAGTTCCCCAAAGTTCTAGACACAATATCAGATGCCTCCATCAGACGCGGAGGATGCCACCGGCTCTGAGAATATGAGAACAGGTTCGCCCATGAATTCCGGGGACTTCCGGTCGTTATGTGGGGACTGGTCCGACATTCGCCAAGACTCATATATCCGCCTAGGACAGCAGGGTGCATTCGGGCGGCCACCCATATTATGCACTCCATCAGCGAAGCCCTGGAAGCCTCGTCAACGCCAGACGCTCGCGTGCAAGTCCTCCACGACATCCTGCACCTGCAGACCTTGGATGTGAGATGTCCGGCACGGATGGTCGATGCTTACTCACTGCTTCTAACAGGCGCATCGTTTGGTGGACGATTGCGTTCTCTGGAATGCTTGCTTTCCCACTCAAACGACGACTGAACATCTTCGTAATTACTTGATTTTCTTCCACCATCAGCGCGTCCTACTTGGCACCACTCCTAAGTCATTCCTTCGCGTTTTACTGGTGTCTGGGGGGGTGCATCTTGGGGTTAAATCCAACGAAACGGTAAGTCTATGTTAACGCCAGATATCCAAAGCTTACCAAGCATCCTAGACTCTCCGGGTCATTTTCACCATGGCTTACGCGGCGTGGTTGACACCGCCATGTGGCCTTGAACCAACCCAGGGCGAAGGCCAGTTCGCCACGCCAAGCTACATTAGCGACGGCGAGATCCGTAAGTCGGCATATGCCTCATGGTTCGATAAGCCATACGAAGATTTGGTGCCGACGGTGGGCAAAGGGGATATCGCTTTGCCCGAAGACACATGTGCCGATGCCTTCGTGGAGGCGGCAGCTGAGCAAGCGATGTGGGAGCCGCCTTCGCCGGGTAGCAACCATGAGCCGAGAAGTCCTTGGTTCCTTTGCTGGCGCGATAGGCGTACGGAGGTAAGTTGTCTGACTGATTGCGTATCAGCGACTAAAAATTTTTGTAGGCAAGAGACTTCCTCCGGTACCTGGTTTATCCCAATTCAGCGGTATCGTTCTGCGAAGAAGCCCTGCTAGACTTCCACATGACCAATTTCCACCGATTGCGCTTGTTGTGCGCGGTGGACATGCGTGTCTACATCCGACATGTGTTGGTTCTCGGGGGAGTCACCATGCGCGACTTGAAAGATGGTCCAGAGGTCAGTCTTCACAATTGAGTGTCCTGGATACATATTGATAACCTACTAGTTTCCGATACGCGCCTTTCGGATGTATTATCATCGTTGGTCGGGTACAATGGTTGATGTGGACGAAGCCACCGGCATGTTAACGCGGCGCATGAGCCTGCCATTTTTGTTCCATAGCGAGGATCGCTTGAACCGGAAGGGTCTGGGAAAGGGGTTTCTGTACCGAGGCGATGACAGTGCGACGACCGGAAGCGAGGAGTAGCGTACGTTAGCGATCAGCGCCCTTGGATATCCGAAATGCCATGTTTGTGGAGCGAGGCCGACAGATTCGCGGAAAACCGGCATCAGCCGCGCAAGCCTTGTCGAATTAGCTGCTATGAGGCGGATCAGAAAAGCCGGAGATTCAATTGCGTGTGCAAGAAACATACCCCGCAACGACCCTGTGTGCCTTGG